TTGGTGCTTGTTATACTTAATACATAATATTATACATAATATTTAATATTATGTATGTTTAAAAGTAAACAAAGGTAAAGAAAGAATAAGGTGAGACGAGCAGCAGGATGAGCGTTCAGTTTTCCTGTTGCAGCTGACCGGAGGAGAAAAGTCTGCTTCAATTTTCACAAATAACATTATTTTGTGAATAAACAACATTGTTTTCCGTTTTATTTTTCTGTACAATCCAACTGCATTTGTGCCATTTTAGTCATTCCTATTATTCAACTCATGAGATGAATGCTATGATTTTTAAGTTTTGTAATTGTTAAATATAAAATATTTAAACTTACAGACGTTTTACAGGAGAAAAATGTAGATCTCTTCAGATGTTTTTAATCTGATTACAGTCGATTTGATACATTTTGTCTTTTATGTCAATTTTAGCTTTTAGCTTATGTTCTGCTTTTTAGCTTTTAGATAGTGTGTTGCTCCTTTTATCTTTAAGCTAGTGTTCTCCTCCCTTTAGCTTTTAGCTAGCATTCATCTTTTACCTTTAAGCTAGCATTCTGCTTAGCTTCAAGTTAGTATTCAGCTCCATTTAGCTTTAAGTTAGCTTTCAGCTCCATTTAGCTTTAAGTTAGCTTTCAGCTCCTTTTAGCTTTAAACTGGTGTTCTGATCCTTTTACCTTTAAGCTAACGCTCTGATCCTTTTACCTTTAAGCTAACGCTCTGATCCTTTTACCTTTAAGCTAACGCTCTGATCCTTTTACCTTTAAGCTAACGCTCTGATCCTTTTAGCTATATACTAGCATTCTGCTGAGCAAAACAGGCATTTAGCTAGATGTAAAGGAGTCTTTACAACACGCTGGTCCGATTTACAACTCGCCTATATAATAAACGAGGCTGTGCATATCCATTTAAAAAGTTAAAAGGAGCTAAATCTGCTCCTTTTAACTTGAGTGTTTTTCTCCTTTACTTGTGTTCTGGTCTTTTTAGCTTTTACCCAGTATTCTATTTATTTTAGCTTTAAGCGAGTACTTTGCTCCTTTTAGCCTTTTCTTTGTGTATTGTTCCATTAGCTAGAGCTCAGCTCCTGTCAGCACTGAGCTAGTGTTTTGCTCTCTTTAGTTGTTTGTCTTGCTCATTTTAGCTAGAGTTCATCTATTTTATATTTAACAACTGTCTTCAACTAAGTCATTCAGCACTCTGCATTCACGCAGCATTTTGGAAGAAAATACAGTTTAATTTACTTTCAGCTTCCTCTTTACTGATTTCTTCCTTTGATGTTTATTATCAAGGGAAACATTGTAACATAAAAAACTTTTATTATAACACTTTTTTTTCTGTTTCCATCTTGCCTGCCATGTTCTGTTGTATTATAAAAATAAAGAGAAAGCTGAAAGTAACTTAAGAAATTGCATTTTCGGCTGGCAATCGGGCAAGCAGCTTTTTCTCGTCATTCAGTGCAGAACAAGGTTTTTGTAAAAATCGAATGTAATACACAGTGGAGATAAAAAACTTCTCTCCATTTCAAAGTTTGATATCTTAAATCTAAAATTAGCCATTCCTCCTGGCTGGAGCGTGGCGGGACAGACTGCACAGCCGGCTCAGGGGTTTCCCGCTGTGAGAAAGCAGAGCTCATCTGGCACTGCAAATATTCTAAACTAACGTACGATACCACAGGGGTTATCATGGAGGCACAAGATTAAAAGGAAGGCTAATAGAAAATGAGAAACTGGATGCATTTTTAACCACAGGGTGGTTATCTTGGCAGCAAGTCTTTTTACATTACGGTCAGAACGGAAGTGAGAAATCTTCAAAAGACTCGACTTTGAGAAGTTCATCCACTTTTACAACATTATTCCAAACCCTTGGAGAAAAATGTACAGGATGTTTGGAACACTACACAGGGAATAATTCAGTGGAACATCGTTCTCTCACATCAAGAAAAATCAGAAGAATATTCAGAATTCAGGAAGTTTTACTCCAATCTAAAGCAACTGGAATGGTTCCCGTAAAATTAATTTCCTACATGGAAAACAAGGAACCCATAAACCATGGTGGGTGATAGTCAAACGTAGGAAAACTAAATGTATTAAAAAACCTAGTATTTTTTAAAATAATGCGTATGACCTGCTGCATTTAATAACAGAGTTTTAAACTAAAATCACTTTATGATAAGGGACAGACATCAATTTGATCAAACCTTGTGAATGAAGTTATGCACAACTCCTGATCTGCCAAGTTGCAGCACGATCCCTTAGCACTCAAAGGATATTTTGTGAATGATTCTCAGCTACTACTACGTCCAATTTTATCTCAATATCCTTAAATCTGCCCGACTTAAACCCATTTCTGCATTGGCTAATGTCGATTCGAGGTGGCCATCTTGAATTGTGCTGACTTGGACAGATAAGGAGATGAAGGCTGTGTCCAAATTCAGGGGACGTGTCCTTCAAAGGACCCAGCCCACTCAGTCTTCAAGGAACTGAGGCCTTTATAGACGAGGGAAGACCGGAAGAATATGGCTGTGAATTTGGACAGTGTAGCCTTCAGCTTTATTCCCACCCTTACCCTCAAGTAAGGGGAAAAGACTGAAGTATTTGTGGGCCACAATCGGAGGAGCCTTCCAATTTGGACAGCCTTCGGCACATTGTTGTGACATAACCGGCCTTCAAAGGATGCAGCACTGAATGACGTCACACATTGTAGTGACCTCAAAGTATGTGTTGGGTACAACGCTCAGCTACCACTACACCAAACTTTAGCTCAACATCTTGGAGAAGGGTTGGCTAAGGTCAGGCATCTGTGTCGGCCAACTTTAACTGAGTTAATTCCTAATATTACGGAGTTGTAGACGTGTAGCACAATGAAGGTTATAAAATAAGACCTGTTTCATGAGGTAGTTTGTTTGTTAACAACAAATGACAAACACAAACATTATCGCCTGGCCTTTGCCTTCCATGGCTGGTTGGAAGAAGCTCCACTGGGACATCTTAGTGAAAATACAATTTGATCCTATCAGTTTGAAAAGCAAGTGTGTGAATAGACCACTTCATATTTAAAGTTGTCACAAGTGTGCATGTGCTAAGTGGGCCGAGCTCATACGTTTACCGGAAAAAGCTGAGCTTGCTATGGAAACAACATTGTAGTTGTAAATGTATACAGACCCTATGTATTTGTGCTAAAGAAAATTTTGTAAAAGGGATCCACGATTAGTTGCAACATTAAACTTTATTTGATAAACATTTATTTTAACTGTAAAATTAAGACTGTAAAAATACTGTAGGCTGTTTAGTTTAGTAAATTTTTTAAAACATATTTTAACATGGATGGAGCCATTTTATTTACACGCAAAGCATTCTGGGTAAATGATGACATCAACTAGGTCATCGGTGCAAGGTTGCTAGTGAGCTATATCCACCCTGAAGGTTAATCTTGGACAATATCTGATGATCGACTCTTTTAAATGAAACCAGAGAGCGTTGACAGAGAGGAGAAGGTAGAAATGACTCAGCCTGKAACTGAAAATATGGATGGAGGACAACAGAGCTGCTTCATGGAAGAAGAACCTCAGCTTACCCTGTTAGCCTTCACGCTATATTGCCTTATATGTATTAGCTCGGCGCTAACATGACAAACAAGCTAAACTGAGGTCCTCCATCCATATTTTCAGTTGCAGACTGAGTCATTTTTGTGTTCCCCTCTCTGTCATGTGGATGGATGTCGAAAGGAGAATGTGTAGCACTGAGCTAATACATATATATGGTGATAGCATCGGAGCTAACGCTGAAGCTAACAGGCTAAGCTGAGGTTCTTCTTCCATGAAGCAGCTCTGTTGTCCTCCATCTATATTTTCAGTTCCAGGCTGAGTCATTTCTACCTTCTCCTCTCTGTCAACGCTCTCTGGTTTCATTTAAAAGAGTCGATCATCAGATATTGTCCAAGATTAACCTTCAGGGTGGATATAGCTCGCTAGCAGCCTCGCACCGATGACCTAGCTGATGTCATTTACCCAGAATGCTTTGCATGTAAATAAAATGGTCCCGTTCGTGTAACATATTTTTAAATTTTTAGTTTAAAAATCATAAAAACTAAACATCCTACAGTATTTTTACAGTCTTTATTTTACAGTTAAAGCATATGTTTATTACATAAAGCCTAATGTTACTACTAATCGGGGATCCCTTTAAACTTTCTTTTAGAATCATAGATGTTTTTTCATAAATATTTAAGCTATAAATCTTAGAGTTTGTTGTATTTGCACAATTCCAATGGCATTTTCATTAGCAACCTCAGCATTTACCCGGTTGACCAGTGACCCAGAATAACAAATAAGGCTCTGCTATGAAATTGTCCATTCAAAACCCAGTTAAATTAATCTGTGCGCGATTGAGAGCAGCAGAACACCATGTGCTGAAAAGTTTAACAAAATAACATTTCCGGGTTTGCAACTTGTAAACAAGCCATCCACCTGCAGTAAAACTTCAAACGTCACCTCCTGACAACTACAAACAAATCTCATTTTAAACCCAGAAACGCTACTAAACGCCTAGGAACCGTCAATAAATTAGCACAAAAGTAGAAATTATCTAGAATTATAAAAACGTGCTTTTTTCTCATTTAATTTTAGTGGTGTCGTTGGGAGGAGATATAGACGTGTAACTCGGAAAGGTGTCATGTTATATCGGTGAAAACACTGACAATTATTGTGACGTTATTGAAGTCTAATCTTGCTATTTGTTGACGGTCCCTAAAGGCTAAATGACTTTCCGTGTGTTTCCACAAAACTAAACACCTGCTCCACGTACCAATGTCGTTGATTATACTTTCTTTTATATATTTTATTAAACTACAAGTAAACAATACCTCAAATGGTATTAATATGAAGAATTAAACAGTTAACTTTTGTTGTGTCTTCGTCACTTTGGAGGTAGCGGTGACATCCGCAAGAGTTAACTAAAAGTGTCCGATAATGGACGTCTAGTCATCAGTTTGCGCATTTCCTRTTTATTTACCTTGTAGTTCGGCCTTTTTCGTTACTTTCTCGGTATGGTTCGTCGCATTCACCTGCCGACCCATTATCGTCGTCCTCCACGGTAACGTCGGCTCCCGTGACCGGGGTGCCTACGTTCTCCAAGCCGCGCTCCATGACCCCTGCACCATCTTCCTCCGAGGCGGCCAGCGAGCCCCGGACGGCGGACTGCGTTTTCAGTCCGACAGCGGAACCCTGAGTTTGTGAAGTCCCGAAACCCGTGAGCGCTTTCAGCAACAGCAGGAGCACCAAGGAAATGCTCACTCCAAAGTGAAGCCTCCTTTCCATTTGTAAAACTGGCACATTAGTGAAAAATGAGATTTACATGCTACTGACCTTGTAAATCATAAAAAAGTTTAATAAATAAAAAAGTGAAATGACATAAAAACTGCTGTGTCCTAAAATCCGTTCTACCGAATGTGCTCTTTTAGTAAACATAAACAGCCTCTGTGACACCATGTTAAACTAGATTGATACTTGCCTAGAAACCCTTAATCCCGCCTTGTTTCTATACTAAGATTGGACGATACCATGCTCGTTTTATTGTGCTCGCTTCTTATTGCGCACTTCACAATCAATCACGAGTCCTCGCATACTAAGCAGAAAATGATTGCGTTGGAAAGCCGTCACTCAAACAGACCAACCCTTTCAGAGCCAACCCCCCCAAACCGAGAACGAAACCAAGTGGCAACGCACCATTTGTAGTCTGGCTGACAAGGTGGTGATACTCATGTGGAGCTAAAACTGTGATTAGTAGTTGAGTCTTCCAAATTAATGCCTTTTGTTTTATGTTTTTATTGCAAATTTAAATTGTCAGCAGTTGATAACATAATAAACCTAAACTGCTCTTCTAGAACTTCCCGTTGGAAAAAGGTGAAACTCCGCCCTTGCCGTTCGTCACCATCTCTACCCGGTTCATCGCCCGGCTGACGAAAAAAAAAGGAACGCTTCCTCGAATTAGCTTCGCTGTTACGTTTACGCATGCGCAATGACAAAGATGACGCAAAAGATAAATCTCCGAAGGCGGTTCCTGTTCGGGACCTATGATTGGTCAAAGGTCCAAAAGCACATCCAATCATAGACGGGACAGACGAGCTGTAAGGCTATTGGCTTATTTTAACGCCTGATGACTTGAGAGAAGCTTTTGATTGGATAGTTCAGCTGTCGCTCAGGCGTTGTTGTCAAATCTGCCGACATGAAAACACCAACGTGGCTTCCATGGTGACTTTCATGAGAGGCGCACTTCCTGTTCCCAGTCTCTTTGGGCAAAAATAAAAATGTTTAATTTCTTTAAGTTCCCATCAATCAAATATATAATTCTAGATGTCATAATCAGAAACGATTTAAATGTTAACGTGGAAAAGCTTTCAATAAAATAAAAAGCTCAGAAAAAACGTTAAGCTCCATTCGTTTTAGCTAATTTTACCTTTATTATATTTTTATTTTGGATGAATATTTGAAATTGCAATGGCTGACTGTTAATTCAAATTGTCCAATAAAGCTATATATATCCCTCAAGTCATCAGGCGTTAAAATAAACCAATATATATATAAAAAACACACGCACACACACTTTAGATCACGAGTTGTTTTTCTCACTCTCATAGAAACATAATGCGCTCACTCCTGTTTTATTTTCAAAAATGTTCTAGTCTTTCAAGACTATGTTGCAAAATAATAAAATTGCTGTCTGTATCACCATCTAGTGGTTAAAAAACTGCTCAGGACTTTCTTGTCTGGTTTCAAAATGTTGAAAATTATGACCGAATCATATCATGTTCATCATTTTAAAACCCAGTGAACGTTTTAAAGGTTTTGCCAAAACATGATGCTGTCACCCCCATGTTTCACAGCTGGGCCAGTGTGTTCTGATGTACAGATGTTTGCAATTAGACCAAAAGGTTAAAGTTTGATTTTATCTGATCAGCTTACCTCAAGCTTGTTGTGTACAGATAATATCTGTAGGCTGATATTATCAGACATCCCTAGTATGTAACAACAAAGAAAAAGGTACACAGCTTTTTTTTTAACCTTGTACATTTATTTTCAACATTGCTTATTGTTGTAACAGTACATCAATGTAGTTATATTCTGACAAGTGGTGATGGTTTAAAATTTGATTACTGGCCATTGTACTAGCAAACGTGTTTTATTTATTTCAAGGCACACCTTTATTACACTCTACAGCACTGCAGCGTTTCATCCCTGAGTCTGAATCAACTCAGACCCCCTCGTTACAGCAATATTTCCAGTGACTTCATTTTCATCATCAGTTACTTTAAAACTCAAACCATCAGAAACATCACCATATTGGAAACAAACTTCCTTCTTTGCTAAAAAATGTCCATCTAACCAAGATTAAAAACCTTAAATCCAGCCAAAAACATAAATTCTTGTTTTGAGACTGGTTTACTAAACAAGAACTGATTGTGTAAGAAAAATTATCTTGTTTTCAGAATGTGTAACATTATTTGTCTTGTTAGTCTGAAAATTTGATTCAAATTAAGTAAAAAAAAATTCCTGCCAATGGAGTAAGAAAATTTTACTTGGTAAGATTCTTGAAATACTTCATTTGACAAAATTTTTTTCTTATTTTAAGAATCTTACCAAGTAAAATTTTCTTACTCCATTGGCAGAAATTTTTCACTTAATTTGAGTCAAATTTTCAGACTAACAAGACAAATAATCTTACACATTCTGAAAACAAGATTATTATTCTTACACAATCAGTTCTTGTTTAGTAAATCAGTCTCAAAACAAGATCAAAAAGACTTTTTGGCTGGATATAAGATTTTAAAACTTGGTTAGATGGACAGTTTTTGCAGCGCAAACTGTGACGACGGCACTTGTGAGAGAAATTGGGACCGATGAAAAGAGAATATATTTTGGATGTGGCACACCTCAGTTGATAAGAGCATCCCGAACCTGCACACTTCCATCCTCCATCCCGAAATACGCTCGTTCAGCCATGTTCACAAAGAGCCCAGTCTCTACCACACCTAAACACAACACGGATATTATCAGAAGACAAAAAGCTTACAATATACAATAAACTGATACTTTTCTCTCAAATTATATACAGCGCTGGGGAAAGAAACTAAAGTAACTTTACATGACAAAAACACACTCCTGTCAAACAGTTCCTCACCAGGAATCATCTTGATGGCAGTGTTGACCTCCGTCCAGTCCTGCGCCTGCTCAAACTTCCAGTCCAGGATGAAATTACTGTTGTCAGTGACTACAGGACCCTGAAAGTCAGAAAATACACGWCGGGGTTCATTGCTAAGCCTTTCACTTATTGTTGCATCGAAATGTGCTGACAACAATTCCAGTGAACCAGGTGAATAAATCTAATACAGTAACCCTGGAGCCACAACATGAAAACGTCAAAATTAGTTTGCAGGAAAGTTTAAAACAGGTGACCACTTTCAAAATGATTTCTAGCATCACTATAATCCATTAATACATCACTATGACTCAAGCCCTGATTCAATTATTGATTTTAAGTTCACAATCATCATTTTCACCAACYCACCAAAAAAAATTAATAAATTCTAGCCATTTTACAACCAAGTTTCTTTTAACACCAGCATTATTGTCCTTGTATCAAACTGTCACAATCTGTCATTTTAGTAACAGAATACAACTTCAACATAAATAAATGTCATCACAAATTTGCTTGAGACCAAAAGTCATCAAGTATCAAACTGAATTTGTCTTAAAGACATAACTTACTGTTATACAATAATAATAAAATTTTAAAAATTCAAAAGTTTAAACATTGATAAATTAAACAATTTGTCTAGGAGGCAAATTAAGACAGTTTTTCTCCACAGACCAATAAARAGGTAGTTAATRTGTGACGGTTTGGTGTTGAGTAGARTTGGGTGGTAAACTGGTTCGTACCAAAAAACTGTTTGTTTTCGTTACATTTATTTTCCATAAACCTGAAAACCGGTTTAAATGGCCTGRGCAACAYTCGGAACATTACGTCGGCCAATAAACCATTTCATGGGGGAACTTTATCCTTGCTGCATCGCTGAATGGTTAAAAGAGCAGCACAAGGCAAGCTGGTGTCATCGTGGGAGRTGTTGAGCGAGGTAGAGATGGAGAAAAAGTATGGAAAGAGATGCTGGGGCAGAGGTAACAGTTGAKGGTGATGCCCCAGAAGAACTTGTGCCTAAAAAGAGGGGGGCAAGGGCGGGATTTCTGTTGTGTGGAAGTACTTTGGCTTTAAAAGCTCAAACGTTGATCAACGAAGCTGGTGTTCTGCAAACTTGGTTGAGTTAAAGTTGTTGCCACATGGTCCTGTTGCACACCGTGGGAAAATAAGGTTTAAGAGCTAAGGTTAAAACTCCGGATGGCAGCTATGTGATGTAAATATAAGTCACAATTATTTTGGCCAAATATCCCTGTGTTGTACTAAGAGCACAGAGCAAAGGTAATGCCTGGTTCACATGGCAAGATTTTAAAATTGTCGGACCAAAACAATCAAACACATTGTATATCCCTGATATGAAGTCGGAGCGGGCCTGATGTTCTTCCAAGCGACTAGATCATTCTTAACACACCACACACGGTGGGAATACCTCCTAAGATTATTTTTAGAGCCATCATGATTATCGGAGAGTCCTTAAGGTTGTCGAAAGACCAAATTGGGCCAAAAATTGGCACAATTATCTTGCTGTGCATAAATCATTAGTGACACTGCTACGAAAACTGTCTCCCTTCTATTAAAAGGATCCCTGATTAGTTGTAACATTAGACTTTATTTAATAAACATATGTTTTAAATGTAAAATAAGGACTGTAAAAATACTGTAAGATGTTCAGTTTTTATCATTTTTAAATTAAAAGTTTACAAATATATTGCATGTTGTCCTCCATCC